ACCCACCTGAAACTGTCCCTGACATAACTCCTGTATCTCCTCCCAGTTTTCAGAAACATCTGCAGGTCTTGCAAGGTGCCCTGAGGCCGGGGGGGAAATTTGGGGCCGCCTTGGGCAGAGCGTGCTCAAAAGGGTTTAAAGGTTTAAGCAATGGTGCTCACTTGCATATCTAGGTTTGCGGTAGAAAATACATCCAAATCCTCTTTTTATGAATTATTTCGGCCCCTACATTGCGTGGAGTTTCAGTCTGGTTGCACTGTCAGGGCTCGGGATGCACCTGGCTTGTCCAAACCCTAAACCCTCAATGCCCTGCAGGCATATGATGTCCGACCTCAAGCACATTTGTCAGGACATTCACCTAAACCCTAAACCCTAAATACATTTGTCAGGACACTCACCTAAACCCTAAACCCTAAACCCTTACATTTGTCAGGACATTCACGAAGAGATTTTTGTGCCTGGTCCTGGGATGAAAGGCTCCGAGCTTCGGGCCGAGCCTTTGTTCCTTTGGTACGATTATTTCTCCTGCCCGCAGCTTGACAAGAATGACTTCTCCAAGGCCATCGACTCCATCCCAGCTTACGTTGCTGGGTTGCTGTTAAGGAACTTAAGTTAAGTAACTCTATTGGGGAAACCCTAGTATTTCCTATATATACCCATTATGGTAACTTAATTTAAATTCCTAAACAGCAACCCAGATTGCCAATTCCGCCTTCTTCTTTGTCCTTGCTCCGGTGATTGAGTCTCCAAGAATGTCCATGGTTTTCACATCTGCGACCTGGGCTGACAGGGCATGGTGTCGTGTGGAAAGGCTCTGTAGAGAGCTTTCGCCAGAGGGTTCCTACATCATCATCAAGGACAAGAAGCACTTTGAGGTGGCTTCCTCATGTGTCGGTTCCTTTGTAACTCCTCCAGGCGAGGGAACATTCAAAGTGGCCGCAGACAGGGCCAAGCTTGGCCCAGTACTCCAGAAAGCTTTGCAGAGGAAGTTGTTGATTCTGTTGGAGATGCAAGATTTTGTGGGCTACCGCGTGCTGCTCAACCTGCAGCCCGTCTTGCTACGAGGTTTCAAGGTCCAGCCATCATACGCTATGATCCCGTCCAACAGGGAGATCAGCTCGAAGCTGCTTACATGATGGTGAAGTAAAGGGAATGAAGGGATGGGTTAGAGTCCCGTGAGTGATTTTTATGTAGGCATCACGAAAGTTATCCGTTTCTCCATTCTCTACTGAAGCAACAAGGCTGGATGTGGCATCCCATGCGGTAGCGGAGTTCTTGTTTCAGAACGGTTTCTGCACGGTTAACGAGGTGGACAGCTGTGGATGGTCACCGTTGCACTACGCTGCCCTTCGTGGAGAACCTTTGTTGATCCAAAGCCTGCTGGAACAGAGAGCAGACATTGATTGCAAGACCAAGAAAGCCAACAGAAAGCACGGAGCGATGAAAGGCATTGTCTCTTTGGATTTGTGCATGCGCCATGGCAACAATGAAGCCGGTCGCCTGCTCATTTCTGCAAAAGCCAGCGTGGATAGCTGTTGGCTGGTGCCACATGCAAGCATTGGAGACAACGCGGAGGGCGTGCGTATGCTGTGTGAGGCTGGCTGCAGCCCTCTTGCTAGGGACCCGCTGGGCACACTGGCAATCAGCGTCGCTTGCACCTTTGGGTCCATCAATGCCCTGGAGGAGCTTGTTACATCTTACTGCCAAGTCTAGTACTAGTAAGAGCAATACTGAATAGTATAACAATAGTAATAGTAATGATAATAACAGTTTTAAAAATAGTAATAGTAATAATGAACAGTGCCCTGGAGGAGCTTGTTACCCAAGCAGGACACTCCTTGGAAGCGGCTGATCTGGCTCAGGCCATGTTTTTTGCCGTGACTTTGAAGGGTCGCGGAGAGATTGTCCAGCGCCTGAGTGATCTGCGGGCAGATATAAATGCGCAAAGAGACGTCAAGATGTTGAGCCCGCTTGGACTGATCAATATGATGAAGTCTCTCGAGTACAGGCTGGGCCGGGTCACGCCCCTTACACGGTTGAGCTATCATACGCAGGGGTGTACAGCCCTGATGGCTGCCATCATGATGGGGCATTATGAAGCTCGGAGTCGAATGGGTCATATCTAGCCTTTGCGGGAAGTACTTCGTAGTCTCTCAGAAAGTTCTCTGCTGTAAGCAGATGTGCACGTAAGGACAGTGCGGCTATCCTCGTCGCAGCAGGGGCGCGGATAGATCTCTGCACTGCTCGCGGGCTTACGGCCGCGGACTTTGCCAAAGAGCAGACGATACCTGATTTCGTAAGGCAAGCTTTGGAAGGCAGCCGAGAGGCATGTGTGACAGTGGCACACATGGCCCAAGATGGGGGCTTGATTGAGGTGCTCTTGTGATTGCATTTTTGAAGATAGCTTTCTTGAATTAGATATTTTTTAACGTCGCAGCACGCGAGCAGGCCAAACAGGCGTGGCAAGCATGGTGCGCAGTCAGCGTAGTCTCACCGCGCATCCCAAATGGGATGGCCGAAGGCGTATCGCTTTCACTTGAGGTGTTGCAAAAAAAACTGTCATTCTTACGCAACTAAGACCTATACATACTGTAGTAGTTTCCATTTATTTTCCATTATCCCAATATAACCCTAATATTACCCCAATGGGTACCTATAATATCCCCTAATGACTGAAGCATCATCATGCGACTTAAGCTTCCCTTGTAAGGCAGCAAACTGTACACCTTAGACCTTGGTCCACATGGCTACGTCTCATTCATGTTTGTATGTATGTACGTGAGTACTTACGCACGTGTTCATGTATGTTTGTCGGTCTGCCTTTACGTATGTATGTTTGTTTGTTGGTTTGTTTGAATGTCTGTGTGGTTGTTTGTTGGTTTGTATGTTTTTTGCTTGTTTTCTGGTCTGTCTCTTTGTATGTATGTACAGTATGCATGCATGCATGCATATATGTATGTGTAGGTGTATGTGTCTATGTGTCAAGCTTTACCCTGCCCGAGCCCTGCATGCCTAGAGCTCATAAAGCCCTGACCCGGAGCTCAGGCCAGTCATCTCTTCCGGCTGAGGTAGCCAGAATGAAGTCCCAGCCACTTTTCGACAAGCTCGGCTTTTGTAGGGTGCGTTTCTCAAAAGGTTTTCGAGTTTCGGGTTGAGTTTGTCAGGAAAGCAGTCTCCTTGTAAAGCCATACATATAAACCCAGTTTCCATTCCACTTTCCTTGCTTTCCATTTGCTTTTCCATTGTTCTAAGAGGATTGGCACTTCTCTTACTCGTCGTACGCAAGCGTTCACCTGGCATTCTCTCTACGCACCGCTCACGCGCCGCCATGAGTAGCAGCCATCGCACCGATGGACGGGGAGCACGGACCGGACCCAAACACAAGTCCTAGGGGCAGCCTTCTACGCCCATGGCTCACCTCAACACGGCTCCAAGCTGGCAGTTGGTTTCTTGCAGGGGTACAAATCAAGATGTTTCATCCGGCCAGTGCTTTTGCGTGTTTACCTCCACTTCTGTCTGAAATTACAATGCTACCGCTTGAAGAATGTGAGGCCTTGAACACCACAAGGCCCGACGTATACACTCAGACCTCAACGCACGCTAGACGCCACATGGCATAAAAGTACCATGCGTTGAACAGCTTTCAGCAACGGCAATCCGCACCACGTTGACCTCTTGGCTCAAGCTGGGCCAAAGGCGCAGCCCAGAATTGGTTAGAAGGTATTAGAAGGGCGAGGGAGCATTGAGCAACACCGCAGCAAGATAACAGCATGGCATTCAATCGATTACTATCCGGTTAGGCGACTTGTAACAATAGACGACATCATTGAGACTACCGCAGGCATGCACTGCTCCTAACTAGCAGTGTAACGATGTGACCATGAAAGACGTTTGAATCCGTACCAGAGCAGCCCGTATCATCCCCACCCTGGTCTTAAGTCGAAGATGCTAGAGTGGGGTTGTAGGGACTGTTGTAGGGGATCAGATGGTAGTTTCCCAAAATTAGGGGTACCCTTTTGGGGGTCCCCATAATAAGGACCATAATATTTAGGGGTCTACATTGGCGTCCCCCTGTTTAGGGAAACTACCAGATAGGGATTGCGAAAGAGATCCATTCCCCCATTCCCTGCTGAGCTTTGGAATTTTTGGCAGCAATTCTTTCAACTGGCTTTGCCCAGGAACCCACAGTCACAGCTGGATAGACATTGCCATATATGAAGCTCTTGGTGTATACATTATAAATTATACGTTAGGAGGACCCCCCCCACCTTGTAATAGTGATTATACGGAATAATACGGATTATAATAGGGTCCTCTCTTATACCACTGTTACAGGATGGGGGGTCCTCCCAAATCATAAAGCTATGTCTCCACAAAGGAATCCCCTCTCAGCCCCCCAATATGCTAGTGTCTGTTTACGCGGTAACCCTACGGTTTAGGGTTTAGGGTTTAGGGCAGCAACAGATGCATTTTTGGAGAAAGTTTCAAATCCCCACTAGACGTGGCTGCACACAAATTGCGGTTTCCACAAGCACCGCTAATTTGGGGAACTCACAACCCTAATTCCAAGTAGTAGTTTCCATATTGTTTTCCATTATCCCAAAATATCCCTAGAAACTCTAGATAAACTAAGACCTCTTTTTTTTGAATTATCGCTAAACCCTAAACCTAAAATTGTAGTTTCCATTTTCTTTTCCATTAAGAATCCCAGACACCATGCCGCAAATATGGGAAGTCACGGCTGGGGCCGGCGTGGGCGTCTTGGCTGGATGTGGGAGTTTAGCGTACAGAGTTTAGGTTTCAGGGCTTAGGGTTTAGAGTTTCAGGTCTAGAGGTTCTGGCATACATAATTTTCTTGCCAGCTCTCAAGAGCATCCAGTAAGACCGTGTTACCGCGAGATTGCCCCCCAAAACCATTGAAAATCAAGTTGGAAAATGGAACACACACCAGAGCTGTGTTATATACTGGCACCGTACTGGGAATGTATGTGTTCATTACTGTCGAACGTGGAGTTTAGGCTGGGGACTATATGGCCACAAGCCCAGCCTTAATTGGCAGGCGGCATCACTTGAAAAGGCTAAAGCTTCGACCCTCAACACTAAAACGTAGCTCTTTTCCAAACAGGGCTCCAAGGTTAATATCGCATCAGAAGCTATTGTGGGAGCTGGGTGTAGGGCCAGGGTTTAGGGCTTGCGGTTTAGGATGACTCGGGGAGCCCCGAACTCACGGAGTCGAAGCTATCTCGGACGTGCTTTGCATAGGGACTCCCCTCGCCAGGTTTGCCCGTTTATGCCAGTGCGCTCCAAAATTCCCATGTCTTGATCCAAATGACCCGCCTCACTTTCGCCTGCGCTTCGTGAGAACAAGACGCTGAAGCCCTGGACGTTGAAACCTCCGTGATTCCAACGCTCACCCAACAACAACCTGCGCATGCTTCTGTTGCAAAAAGCACTCCATGCCCTAAACCCCAAACCCTAAACCCTGAACCCTAAACCCCTAAACCCTAAACCCTCCGCAAGCTGCAAAACCAGGTGGTATAGTCGTGCGGGAGGGCGCCCATCTTCAGAGCAGGATGATGGTCCCACAGCTGAACTTCAAGAAATGCATCCTGCTGACATAGGGAGATTCCCATAGTTAGACTAATAGTTAGACGTCCTTATAGTAGAACTTATGTTAAACTTGGGGGTACATGGGACCCATTTTTCTTGGAACTCCCCATACCATTTTCTTACAGAAATGACTGGGGACTCCTAGTTGTGCACCGTATGTTGCAGGGGCGATGACTGCGTGCAGTTAGTTTAGAGGGTTTAGGGTTTTAGGGTCCCCCACCCCTAAGGTTAGGTCAGCCCACTAATAAGGCCTAATTGTCTTTAGAAGGGGCCGGGTGGTACCTAAATCCTACACCCTTATTCCCAACCTGCAGGGCCCATGTTAGGTATATAGTGTTTACACAGGGCCTAGAGGGTTTCCACGTTTCCACGCAACCACTTTGGGCCCCAAGCAAATATGCTATGGCTTACAAGGACCCTTTAGGCCAGGCCATTAGATATTTCCAGCGGGCCGCTGCTCACCGCCCAACATGAGCTATAGGCTAAACTTCTTAAAAGGGGGTTATACAGGGGTTATATAGGGGACTACTATAAGGGTTATTACAGAAGATACTCGGAGTTTAGGCTATAGCTCGTATGGAGTAAGCCTGTACTTGTTTTGGGTTCAAACTCTTTCTTCGTAACAGGAACATCATCTTACTTTACGAATTCGGTTCAAAGCAAAAAAAGACTACTGAGATGTTGAAGCTAGTCGAGGTTGTCGACATGTTCCATCGTGAGAATGCGGTGGACATCAATGAACATGTATGCAGTACCCCTTGTAGCCCCCCACCAAGGTTCTCAGGAACCCTGATCAAGGACCTTCAGAAGCCACCCCTGCCCAACCTGAAACCCCAAAGTACATAGACCAATGGCCGTTTTTGTCCAATTTTGGGTGCTTTGGGCCATGTGAGCCATAATCTTAACTCCTAGTGTCACCCTGAATAACCCCTATACCAGTCCCTTACACAATCCCCTATATACCCCCCATTAAGGAGTTTTTCACTACAGCTCATGCTGACTGACTTTTCTGGTACAGGTAGGCCAGGGTTGCTATCCAATCCGTCCGTAGTGCTCCCTTATTCCCTACTAGAACCCCAATACATACCTCATTATATAGGGGTTATTTGGGGATTACATAGGGTTTAGGGTTTAGCAAAATTGGGTGTTACTTTGTTGGGGTCCCTATAATATGGACTATAGCATTTTGGGGTCTATATTGGGGTCGCCCCATTTTGGAGAACTATCATATGTACCCTACTATGTAGTAGTTTCCATTTCTATGTTACCCCTTTATTGCCTTATTCCCTATGAACCAAAGTTTGTTTTGGAAAGTTTCAAGCCAGGCCTGCCCCATAAGTCATAGGAGCTGAGGCCATGTTATGGTTTAGGGTACATATATATATATACATATGAGCTACAGTGTAAACGCCTATCATCCCCCTTCATAAGCCCTATAATGGAGAATCAGATGGACAATGAAATGCATATGGAGTCCGTTTGCTGTGCTGCCGGTACAACCATGAAGGTGTTGACAGCGATGGATACGGGGTACTCGAGGGGTCATGGGGATGTAGTAGGCATAAGTACGCCCCTTAAAAGCCATATAATGGTCCCAACCATCCTTGTTTAACAATCTACTTGCTACGTCTGGCTGACCGCCCACGCAAAAGTTACCTGTACATCGTCAAGTCTATATAAGCGAGATAAAAGGCTGGATCGCTTTTGTCACAACTTACACCTAGGTGGGAGTTGATCCAAAGGTCTTTCGAAGGAATGATTTAAAGATCCTATAGG